TCTTATTCAATTTTAGGTTGAAGCTGTTTCCTGGAAAGTTAAGGTCTAGCTGGTCAGGACCATTTGTTGTGAATAAGGTATTTCCCTATGGAGCTATCGAACTAAAAAATAAAGCAAACGGGGACACCTTCAAGGTTTATGGGTAGAGGATAAAGCCTTATTACCAAGGCCAAGAGGGTGGTCGGATAGAAGATGTTCGTCTTACAGGATAAGATGAACGACCGTCGATCCATGTGACGTTAAACAAAGCGCTTCGTGAGAGGAAATCCATGTGTTTATGTCTAACCATGTTATTTTCTTTTGTTTTTGTTAGGATGGTTAGGTATGCACAGAGCCCCTTACAAAAAGAGCGAAAACGCCCCAAAGAATATGATTTTTGAGCAGGCATAAAAAAATCAAGTGCCCTTGAGAAAAAGAAGAGAATGGTTGAAAAATTGGCGAAGTTATGGAAAAACAGGGGTCTGACACGGTCGCCCGTGTCATCGAACATGGCCCGTGTAAGGATGGGTACATAAACCCCAAGTACTTTTTGTTTAATTGAATTATTATAAGAACTTTTATTCTTACGCAGTCCTTGAGATCGATTATGGGGATAAACCCCTGTTTTAACTATAATTGGCAAAAATAGTACACTTGCTATTTTTCCAATCAAGGTTTTTCGTTGTAAGTCACCCTTGTATCTTTTGATACATTGAGGTAGACTGATTGTATGTTGTTTATTGTTTAATTATGAGCTCTTAAGCACGAGTGCATTGTTCTTAATTTATAGTTTTTAATCAAAACTAAGTATTGTAGTTGAAAGAGTGTTCTTCTGTTCTGGTCTCTTGTGGTATTGTCACTGGTTAGTGGTTGTTAGGATGTGAGAGAGGAATCTCATATCTAGAGGGTTTCTAGGTAGAAGTTGCACAAGGTAGTGATGAAGTGATAAGTTGTAAATGAGGGAGTTTAGCTTTGAAATAATGTTGTCATAGTGAATTTCCTTCTTGGCTTGGATACCCCCGAATGTAGGCGATTTGCACTGAACTAGGTTAACAATTGACTGTGTTATTTATCTTTCTGCAATTTATATACAATTTGATTTATTTGCTCTGTCAGAAAACAGATGTTGTAACATCTATCTTGACATTATGTTCTGATGTTGGGACATCAATATTAACACGTGTTTAAGTGCCAGAATTTCAATTGGCATTAGAGCTGACACTCTGGTGTACCTATTGGGTGATCACAATCAGGATTTTTAAGGATTTTCACTATACACAGATGGACAAGTTCATTGGACTAGTCATCCGTTTGTTAGGGGTGTTTCAGGAATTTGTACTGCTAAAGAATTATAGCCTTTACAGAATCGTAGGCTTGTAATCAAATTTTTTTCTTCCATCTAGTGGTGCATGCGTATTAAGGAAAAACATTTTTTAATGACATGGAGAATGTCATTTCAAATGTTGCAGTGAAAGCTTGGAAAACAAGAAAGAGGAACAATAGAATGTCTCTCTCCTATAGTTAGCGGTGCTCTGTTAACAAGTATAATTGTAATGCAGCCATTGTGCAAGATGGTTATTAATCATCTAATGTCCTAGTGGTTTCAAGTAGCGACTATAGCAAGGAGAGCATTATGGATTCTGGATGTACTTGGCACATGACCCTAAACAAATACGTGTTTGAGGAATTGTGTGATCAAGATGATGGATCAGTGTTGTGGGAAAACAACAAAGCTTACAAAATTGTAGGTATTAGATCTGTGAGATTCAAACTCCATGATAAGTCAATAAAGCTATTGACTGATGTTAGGTATGTACTAGATCTTAAGAGGATTTTTATTTCTCTTGGTGAATTTGACAAGGAATCCTTTATTACATTCATGCTGATATTTGGGAGAATGCAAGGAATCCTTCACACTCAGGTGTAAAGCATTTCCTATCTATACTTGATAATTATTCTAAAAAGTTATGGGTATTCATCCAGAAGGCTAAGGATGAAATGCTTGAAATTTTAAAAGTTGGAAGACTCTGGTCTAAAACCAAACTGGCAGGAAGTTTAAGAGGTTGAGGACCGACAATGGTCTTGAATTTTGCAATGAGGCTTTTGACATCTATTGTGTTAGGTCTAGTATTGCATGACATATGAATACTGCAGGAACTCCCCAACAAAATAGTTTCGTTGAAAGGTTTAATTGAACCATTTTGAAATGAGTAAGGTGCATGTTAGTTACTGCAGGATTGAAGAAGGTGTTTTGGGATGAGGCAGTCATGACTGTAGCTTACCTGATATATAGGTGTCCCTCAAGAGCTTTGGGGATGAAAACACTTGAAGAAGTCTGGCTGAAACATCCACCTAATTTAAACAGACTTAAAGTGTTTGACTGCTTAGCCTATGCCCATTTTAGGAAAGACAAGGTTGAACATAGAGCTCTGAAATATATGTTCCATGGATACCCTAAAAGATTCAAAACTTATAGGATGTGGTGTCTTGAGCCAGCTCAGAGGAGGTGTATAATAAGTTGAGATGTAGTTTTCAATGAAGTAGAAATGAGTTTCAAGAAAACTGATGAAGTTGTTTGAAGCGCCAGGATCTCTGATGAAGAGCTGGAATAGGAAGGGATTCCTGTTGAGGTGGAATATGTTGATGCTGAGTTGCATAACCCAGATGAAGTCGAAGAAGAAGGAGAAGTTGTTGTTGAAGCTGAGGAGACTGATAATGACTACTTGCTGGAAAGAGACGGGTCAAGAAGAGTCATCAAGCCATCTCAGAGACTTGGTTATGCAAATCTCATAGCTTATTCCTTAATCTCTGCAAGTGAGGTTCTTGAAGAAGAACCTAGAGACTATAAGGAATTAATAAGGAGTCAAAATAATAGTGTCGAAGAAAGCAATAGTGTCGAAGATGTTATAAAGGTGAAGGTTGAACTCGATAAAGAGTTCGACATGAAGGATTTGTGAGCTGCCTCCAAAATTCTTAGGATTGGCATCCAGAGAGACAGAAAACAGTCGATATTATGTTTATCTCAAGAGACATACCTGAAGAATATTCTCGACAAGTTTGGTATGTCGAGCTCAAATCTTGTTCTAACACCGACTAATCCTCAATACAAGCTGAGTACGACTCAAAGTCTTAGTGCTGAAGTCGAAAGATCTTATATGAATAATATTTCATATGCTAGTATAGTAGGTTCTTTGATGTATGTTATGGTCTGCACGAGACCAGACATAGCGTAAAGAGTGAGCCTTGTAAGCAGGTATATGTCCAATCCTAGGAAGGCGCACTTACACGCATTAAAGTGGATTATTAGGTACATCAATGGGTCTCTGAGCAGAGTCCTAATTTATGGTGGAACTTGTGGTGATGATAACAAAGTCGAAATCGAATGATTTGTTGACTCTGATTATGCAGGTTGTATGGATTCCAGAAAATCTATTTCTGGATGTGTTCGCTATGTTTGGCACAACAATCAGTTGAAAATAAACACTTTAGAAGGTTGTTGCCTTATCAACCACTGAAACGGAGTATATCACTCTCATTGAAGTTGTGAAAGAAGCATTGTGCTTTGAAGGTTTTGCTAAGGAGTTGAAACTTTAAGGTCGAGTTATCAATATTAAATGTGATAGCCAAAGTGCAATACATCTGTTGAAGAATTCAGCTTACCATGAGCGGACCAAGCACATCGATGTGAGGTTCCACTTATTCAGAGAGATAATCGAGCGTGGAGAAGTTCAAGTGCTGAAGGTTTCGACTGATGACAATGTTGCCGATATGATCACCAAGTAGAATTTTTTTCACTGTATGCAGTTGATAAAGCTACATGATAAAAGCTAGTTTGTTCCATTGTTATTATAAAGTTTGTTCAAAGATGGAGATTTGTGATATTTGGATCGAATTCTAGTGTCGACAATGGTAGTTTCATGGTTCGACAGAAGTTGTGTATACTGTAGTCGAAGTCTGTTCAAGCATGTTGTTAAAATATGTTAGCTCTGTGTTTAAGTTAGCATGTTGAATTGTGCCTTTTTTGTAAGCCAAATTGTTAAGTTAGCCTGTAGCCTAAGTTAACTTAGTAGTCTATAAATAGATTAATTCTCTCTGATTGTTGATATAGATTAATTGTTGGTATTCACTTGTAATCTTTAAACCCTTATTGAAAAGGTGAATAGTAAAATAGTTTTAATCAATTTTTATTTTTCTTACTTCTTTTCTCTCTTTCGTAAAATTTAATAAAATTTCTTGTATTTGTTTAAAAAAACTTAATCTTTATCCCACGATTTTATTTTATTGACGACATCGTTTCACAACAATTCAAATCTTCAAAAACTTCAAAGAAGCTAAAAACTGATTATTCTCACTTTAGTCTAATAAAATTTAGTGTTGAGTCGAGCAAATCACTTACAAGTAGAATCAAATGTAATACTGGTGCATCTTTTTCCCCTATTCAAAATAGAGTAGGAATTGGTATTAGTATCAGAGAAGGCCATGGCACTTTTCTGTTAGCAAAAACCAGGTGGATCATGCTTGTGTGGGCGAAGCTCTTAGGTTACTTCCGGCTCTAAGTTGGGTTCATAATCTTACTATAAATCATGTTGATTTTGAATAAAATGCTAAAATCTGTGGTGGATAAATTCTTTTCTTAAAAAATAAGACTATGGAATTTAGAGACATTATTAACCTTATTACAGATTTGTTCTTTACCTATTACAATAGAATTTCTTAAGAAATACTTGATGGATGGCTAAGTTCAAAAGCACATATACATATAAAAGTCTCTTCTTATTGCTAGTGATACTCTTCTTTTCGTGTCTCCCATGAAAAGAATCTAGGAAAAGCAAAGACAAGAATAAAGTAAAATGTACAGACAAATTAAAGCACCTTTCACCTCAAAGATCACACATACTATTTGCTCTAAAGCTTTATTCATATTCTTTCATAACAAGTGCTTAAGAATTCACTGTTAAATAATACTCAAGAACCATCAACATTGTATACCTCTTTTTCTCACAAACCATTAAGGAATCATCATGGCCAAAAACTATGGCTTCCTTATTTGCATACTTGTCATGGTGATGGATATTATTGCAGGCATACTAGGCATTCAAGCAGAGTCAGCTCAAAACAAGGTACTTTGTCTCTACGTGTGTGACACTCGCACACGGTGTCTCAGTTTGATTAAGATCAGACGATTTAAATTTTAGGGTTACAACCTGCGTTCTTTATTAATTAGTTTTGCTTGTGAATTTTTTGGGATATGAAAACAGGAGAAACCAATGAAGATATGGCTATTTGACTGTAGATATCCTAGCCATCAAGCTTTTAAATTAGGAGTTGCAGCAGTTATTCTCTTGCTTCTTGCTCACGCAATTGCTAACTTACTTGGAGGTTGCATTTGTGTTTGGTCTAGAGATCAATACCGATCTGCTACAGCTAATAGGCAATTGGCAGTGGCTTTTCAAATCTTCTCTTGGTAAGTTGGGCTATTTATAACTTTCTCTTGGATTCAATATGGAAGTTAAAACATTATGTCTATGAAACACGGACACGATACGAGTATCAGTATCGAGTATTATACTTAAAGATTATTTATCTGAAAAAGAAAAAGATGGTGAATGTTTGTATTGTTTACAGGATTGTGTTAGCAGTTGCATTCTCTATGCTGATCATAGGCACGTTAGCAAACGCAAGATCAAGAAAATATTGTGGAATATTTAATCACAGGTTTTTATTCATAGGTGGCATTTTGTGTTTCATACATGGATTGTTCACTCTTCCTTATTATGTTTCTATCACTGCCATGAGAAGGGAAGAAAAGAGGCAACAAACTCCAGGACCCGCCGTAATACGCACTTAATTTAATCATTCACATTTTCATCAAAACGTTGATAATTGCGGCTTATGAAATGTACATTTTTTTTTCCAATTAAATTGATTTAGTGAAGAGTTAAGTTTTCTATTATTGTTAAAACTATACTCATCTAATTCGCAATTCGCTATAATATGTGGTATATATATATATATATATATAGTCAATTAGTCAATTAAGGGTATGTTATAATTGGCGGTGGATAAAATTAATTTTAGAATAATTGAATTTTGTAAAATTAATTTTAACAGAATTGAATTTAATGTTTGAATATAATATTATAGAAGTAATTGTTATTAAATAATGTTGTTTGAACAGTTTTATTAAAATTGATTTTGAATGTATAATTAACAAAATGGGTAATAAATTTTAATACAAATAAAAAAAGAAAAGAAATAATTACAAAAAATTAAAGAGAGTAAAAAAGGAAAATTAAAAGGACTTGTAACAAATAAAATATAATAAGTGTAAAATTGATTCTACTAAACTCAAAAATTAGAAATTGTAGCTTTTAAAAGAATTGCTTTTGGAGGAGGAGAATTGATTTTAGAAAAGTATCCAAACAAAAAAAAAAATCAATTTTCAAATTAAAGTGGACTTGGAGTGTTTTTGGAGCTTGTAGAAGTCAATCCAAACATGCACTAAGAAATAATTAAACACTTTTTACTTTTGTCAATTATAAATATTTAGACGGCTTTTAAAAAGTTTAGTGATAAAGAATTGAGTATTATCTAAAAATATATAAATAAAAAAAATAGAGGAACCCTAACACAACTATAAAATATATTTTAGTTAACATTAAATTGTGACCGACAATTAACTAAAGTAATATCTCATTTTTTGTTGTATTTTGTGCATTATATTCAAAATAATTAACTGTGATTATATATTTATAGAGAGACATTGTTTGAATACCATTCCACCACAGATTTTTAATAAGACCGTGGTGAAATTGTTTATTCATATATAACAAATTGGTGCGGTGAGCGTGTGTCGTACCTCGAAAAATACGATCCTCGCGATGGCCGCGGAAAAATACTGTTCGAAACAGAGTCGCCACCGAACTTTATTCATTCCAAGGATGGAATAGGAAAATATCGATAAAACCTTTAAAGAGATAAGAACATGGTCATCGCAACCAATATTCTAGGTTCGGGAGTCGATTACATGAGGGGAAGGTATTAGCACCCCTCATGTCCGTTGTACTCAACGGGAACCTCTTGATCGATTCGAGAGTAAAGTTAACTATGCTTGTTTGTTTTCTTCTAAGGTTTCTCCTATGGGAGGAATGGATGGTTTTAAGATAGGGTGCTCGCCAAGGATTGGGGCCCTTGTGCCTACGTATCTTCACTTATAAGAAGTGGAAAATCAGAGCATTCATAGTTCGTGGGACTACGGGAAAATGAGGGGATTGTGCTCGCCAAGATCATCGCAATCTTGTGCCTACGTATTCTCATTGATAAATGAGAAATCAGAGCAGCCGTAGTTCGGCTAACTACGGTAAGGAGGTTTGGTATGGGAACGAACGAGTGTTTAAGTCGCATTCTAACTGCTAAACGTTGGCTTGTCTGCTCGCTAGGGGAGGCTGAAGCACGAGTTTGTTATGCGCGAAAGAAGGGACTAAACAATGTTCTTGACAAAAGGTGTTTTTGTTGGAAATCGCGCGAGGGAGAGGAAATTTAGGTTTATCGTATTGGATGTTTTGGTTTTGGATATATTTGAATAGGTTTAAGGTTTCGATCGCACGAGGGCGAGAAAGAGGAGTATAGTTAGGTAATTTGATGGAGAATGACGACTATTCGATAAACGAGACGTCAGCCTTGCAATCAATCAATCGAGGCTTTATTGGAATGCTGGATTCCAACAACACCTTTTTCATTCGACTAACTTCGAAATTATGTTTGAGAAAGTTTCAATCGCGCGGGGGCGAGAGAAGAGAGTTGGGTTGAATATTTTAAGGGAGAATGACAATTACTCGATAAACGAGACGTCAGTCTCGCAATCGATTAATCGGGATATCATTGGAATGCTAGATCCCAATGATACCTTTTTCATTCAATTAATTATGTACTTGAATGGACAATAACGACATTGGTCCAAGTAGTTAGGGCACGTATTTTATATACGAAAGGTTGAGCGAACTGCAACCTAAAGCGTACGCCCTAAGAGCGGTTACTCAAGAATTCAGGGAGTGCGAGACTCCAAGAACTCAGTTCTTTCGCAATTTAATTAAGAAAATGGTTTGAATTTGACGTATGATTTAGAGACATACTAGGGTTTAGACTTGACCGTACGGAGGTGAGAAACGAGGTTAGAGAGGTTGTATATTTAGGAGGGATGACGACTACTCGATAAACGAGACGCCGGCCTCGTAACCAGTTAGTCGGGATATCGTTGGAATGCTAGATCCCAACGACAATCTTTTTCATCCCATTAATTATGAAATGGTGTTTGCTGGACGGTGAATACTTGTCCAAATAATTATGGAAATATTTTAGGAATGAAAGTTCGAATGATATACTATACAAGGCGTACGCCTTAATAGTAATCATTCTCGAATTCAAAGAATGCGCGACTCCAAGAACTCGGTCCTTTCGTGAATTAATTAAGAAAATAATCTGAACATATTAGCATAGGGGTTAAACTAGGGTAGGCATATTGCTAGAATTAAGGTTTTCCTACTTTGAAAGGTTTAAACAAAATTGTATAATTTTAGGGGTGAAAGACGAAGCGACCACAACTCAAGGGGTACCCCTCGAGAGCGGTCGCTTAAGGATTCAAGGAGTGCTAGACTCCAAAAATCCACCACTTCCATATAATTCATTTAGAAAAAAAATTTTAATTAAAAAGATTATGATTTTAAATATAAATATAGCATTTTTAGGATTAACTATATTAAATAATTAATTAAGATTATTCAATCGGATAATTGATTCTCTATTAATTTAATTTAGAAAACATTATTTAAAAGCAACTATCTACTAATATTATGCCCTAATAATATGGATTGAAACAAAGATAATAACAATTATTAACTTAAACAATCCCTAATATAAAATTAATTAAACCAAGACAGACTGGGGGTGCTTGAATAGAATAGGTGTAAACAAGAATTCAATGGAAACAATAAGGGCCCATGAGACCCGAGAGATGCCCTAATCATATTGGGCCGATTTCCCTTTCTCTTAAATTGTATCCAATAAAAACTTAACTTAGAAAAAACAAAAGGATGTCACCTCTTCTTTCCTCAAAGGCCAGCGTAGGAAGCCAGCAATTAGGAACACGAGTTATTGCCACGTGTTCGTCAACGAATTGGGCGGCATGTATTGCATTACAATAATGGTAGCAGCGGATAATGACCATTTATTGATTTGAAAAAAAAAAACGTTTTTCCTTAAAAAACCTCAGGCACTCAATTCTCTCTCCCAAATGAACAAAATACTTCCTACTGTATCTAACCCCCTTCTACCTCGTCTAACTGTTAAATTTATTCAAACATCCCACACCCCAAATTCAACACATGAATCAAAGATAAGCGCGGATTAAAAAAATACCAAAGGTTGTAAAACCCTAGTTTTTGGAGTTAAACAAGCATTTAGATTCAAGAAATCATCGGCAATCACTCAACAAGGGCGAAGAATGGAGACCAAGAATGTGAATAGCAAACATCGAACGGAGAAAAGTGTCTTACCTGAGTTTAAGGTCTCGCGAGCTTTCTGGCCAAGGCGGTACCCCGAGTAAGTTTGTCAGTTGCTTTTTACCACGTTCCTACCCCTTTCTTCCGTCATTGTTGGCTCCTTTCTATATCGTTCTGAGTGAATATATGTGTGTTCTAGCTCAAAGTTTATTCGAATTCAAAATGGTGAATCTGAGAGACCTTTGTTGATATGAGCTTTGGAGTGGGGGTTTGGGTAATGATTTGGGCAGAGTAATGTTAGGGTTTTTTCTCCTTTTTTCTCTTGCCAATGAATAGAACCATATTTATAGGAGGGTTTTTAGGGTTTTTGATACGTGTGAGAATTTGAATTTTTGCTGAAGGGAGGGCTTGATCCGTGTGAGGTAGGACAATGAGGAGCATTTGGGGTAGTACGATTCTGTTAGGAGGTAATACCATGATTTCTGCTTTTCTGAGACTTGATAGTGACCTCTGTGTTTGTCTGTAGTGAATTAAAAAAAAAATTGCTTTTTACCCTATTTTTACTGTGTAAAAATGTTTCTTTTACTGCTTATCAATTTGCTGATGTGGGACTCTTTTTGACTCAATGCTTTTTTGTTCTTGTTGCCATATTCTGTTATAACTGTCAATCCCCTTTCTCCTTCATATGTTTCTAATGTCGAGTAATCATTGCAGGTTGTAATACTTACTGGTCCTTAGTGTTTGGCAAGGTAAAAAACGATGAAGAGGAAACCGCGATATGGAGTCAACTTGGCACAGGTAAATGAACCATGGCATTGCTCCTGTAATTGATTTCTGCATCCTAAAAAGCTTTTGACATTTCAACCCTTGTTATTTTTATGAAGAGTTCTCTTTTGATGCCCACTTCCATAACAACTTGGTACAGCCGTGGCTTGTGCAACTGTGAAGCTTGCAGTTATCCCGTCGTCCTCACATTGTGAACCGATTGCAGCTGAAAAATGCGCATTGAGTAGTATTGAAGATGATCGGTGGTTTGCGAGAAAAGACGAAGGTAATCCCCCATTCCGCAACTGAATGTAGTTTTAGGTTCTTTTCATTGAATTCTATCCGACTGTATTTTCCTGTTGACATGGTTCTGTTTTGGTTTTGCACCTTATATGTTAGTTTGTATGCATGATTTTCTTGTAACTTGTCATGACTCCTGCCCATACTGACCATATTGCGTCTTTTCATCTTATATATGTGTGATATGCGTGATGGGAGTGCAGGCTTAACAACGGTTTGATACGACAAGGAGAAATATCAACAGCAACCTTGCACCTGCTTTTCCTTATTGAAACACACAACAGTC